CTAATCAGTTAAAATAAGTGTTAAATCTTTTCCTTCCTCTCTTCCTCTTTCTCTGATAGTTCCCAGCAGGGGCATTAACAGCAGCTGTGTGTTTGTGCACTTTCTCCTGGACTCTGGATTCAGTTAAGCAAGTGTTTATCAAGCATCCAGCAAGTGTTTAACAAGTACCTCCCTGGCTGGTGTGCTGTTAAACCAAGTACACTAACCCTCTTGAAGGAAATGAAGTTCTATGGTCATCTCCCTTCCTGGGTCTGGGCTGCTGGGTGGGGCCACAGTGCATCAGGGTATGGGTGCGGCCCACTCTCAGAGATTCATCCACTGAGCTTGGAGGCAGTTTGCTGGGCTAGCTCTGCCATTCAGACTTAAGAGAGAGCATCCAGTGACTAGACATAAACAAGTGAAAATATAATCTATGACTGAAGGGCAGAGGGCTAGAACTCTGGTCTCTTCTCCCCTCTCCTCCCCTTTAAGGAACCTGTCTGATACTGTGCGGAGGAGAGGGGGTCCTGGTTGTAAAGTAGGTGAGGTAATGAGAGACTGATGTCTCTGATTTTAGTATATGTGCTGCCGAAGCGAGCAAGACTTTAGATGGAGCCTGATTTCTGGAAGGAGTTCACAGGCTTCTCCTGGGAGAAGAGCTGTGCATCCCATAACTGTGACTTCTTAATTCTTCATTATATCTCTCCCTTTGATTTAGTGTTAATAAATCAAACCAAGGAGGTCATTCCCTCTCCTCTAACCTTCACAGAGGCATTTGGAGCTCCAATCTCCAATTAGAGATTACTGGAGGCAGAAGGAATCTTGGATGTCATCTTGTCCAGTTGTGTCATTTTACTAGAGGGAAACACAGAGTCCTGATTTCTTTACCACTGAATGGCTGAGTGAACCCTAAACCATGCTGTCTATCCCTTGATAAAAATAGTAGTATTGGCTTAGTGCACATATCTCTAATCATCATAACAACTCTATAAAATAGGTCTTATTATCATCTAAAAATGAAGATAGTGTCTTCACAAAATTCAGTAAGATAACATTTGAAAATTATAATGGCAAAACATACAAATAAGATGAATTTTTTATCATTATTGAAAACATAGTGGAAGAGTATGGATTTTAGTTAGAACTTATCTGAGGTCACCTCAGATAAATTGCCTATTTGAGTCTCTATTTTCTATTCTGTAAGGTAGGCGTAATACCTGCCTTACAGGGTTGTCACAAGGATTAGTGATCAGATATGTGAAGATACCAGCAGAATAAGTATTCAAGAATAGCTTTCACGATCCAGTGCTTATTATATGGTAAAAATTGTTATTAATATATTATATGAATTATCTCATTGAGTTCTCACCCCAATTGACTAGCAGGAATTATTATGATCATCATTTTATCAATGAATGACCTAGTCCTAAAGGACATAGAACAAATGATATTCCCACAATCAGGAGCTAATAATGGTTGAGCTAGAGTTTCAATCTTCATAGTATGGCTTAGAGCCCACATTCTCAAGCTCTGCACTGGTTATGTATATTTATAGTATATCCATATAATAGGTTATCATTGAAACCATAAGGATATGATGTAGAAGAATATTTTCATGGGAAAATACTCCCAGCGAATTACCAGGTGACAAATGTGGGCAATAAGACAGTATGAAGCTATGTACACAGATGGATGGAAAAACACAGAAACCAGCAACTTCCTTTGGGTGAGTTAAATGGTAATGTTGTATTTATTCATTTATTTATTTAGTAGGCTTTATCTTTTTAGCACATTTTAGGTTCACAGCAAAATTGAGCAGAAGGTAAAGAGATTTCCCTATACTCCCTTCCCCCCAAATGCATAGCTTTCCATTATCAACATTCCCTACCAGAGTGGTACATTTGTTATAACTAGTAAACTTACATGTCAAATCTGTAGTTTACATTAGGATTCACTCTTAGTGTTGTACGTGGGTTTAGACAAATGTATAACAACATGTATCTATCATTATAATATCATACAGAGTTGTTTCACTGTCCTAAAAATCCTCTGTGTTCTGCCTGTTCATCCCAGTCTTCCCCTTTACCCCTGGCAACCACTAATCTTTTTACTGTCTCCATAGTTTTGCCTTTCCCGGAATGTCTGATAGTTGAAATCATACAATATGTAGCCTTTTCATATTGGCCTCTTTCACTTAGTAAAATGCATTGAAGTTTCCTCCATATCTTTTCATGGCTTGATAGCTCTTTTTTTTTTTTTTTTGTCCTGAATAATAGTCTATTGTCTGGATATACCAGTTTATTTATCAATTCGCCTATAGAAGGACATCTTGTTTCCATGTTTTGGCAATTATGAATAAAGCTGATATAAATATATGTGTACAGGTTTTTGTGTGGTTATTAGGGTTCAACTCCTTTGAGTGAATCCAGCAGTTGCTGGATCATATGGTAAGAGAATGTTTAGTTTTATAAGAAACTGCCCAGCTGTCTTCCAAAATGTTTGTACATTTTGCATTTTCACCAGCAATGAATGAGAGTTCTTGTTGCCTCACATCTTTGCCAGCATTTAGTACCGTCAGTATTCTAGATTTTGGTCATTCTAATAGGTGTGTAATGGTATACTTATTTTTCTTTATGATTACTATATTCAAGTTTTCTGTATTGATCATACATTATTTGTAATAAAAAATGTGTTATAAAATAGGAAGCTACAAATTCCATGTAATAGCAGGGAGTGGGAGGGAGAGACAGTGGAGGAATAAATATTATATAATGTCACATAAAGAAAACAATATAATGTAATGATATCAGAACAATTATGATTTTAAAAATTGTAAAAAAAATTGTGACAGTTATTCCAATTTAGCTTTTCATTCCTTGGGGGCTCCACCCAAAATGCATTGTTCGTAGAGTAGTGCTTGCCAAAACTATCTTGAAATAATCTCTATTTTCTTGTTATTTAAAAACAAAAAATAAAAACAATAAAATTATATACAATTATAAAAATAAACAATTTGGCAAAATGTAAGAATTCTAAACCAGTCATAAAAGCATTATTTGACTACCTGTAATGCCATCGTTAAACAAAAAATTTTAACTTCTATGGTTGAAAGTCTTTAAAAGAAAGCGTTTATAAGGCCATGGCTGGCAAAAAAAGAAGACCAGTCTTGGGGCATGGAGTCTAAACCACCAGCAGTATGGCTAGGTAGTAAAGAGATGTCATATCGGAGTTTTACAAGTGTTTTTATTCATTAAGTAGGGGGAGAAAGATGTACGCTGTTCTGAAAAGATTTACATTAGCTATAGACAGGGGATGGGAGAAAGGTGAATGGGGCTAGTTCTGGGATTGGCGCACACAGCAGAGTCCACAGCAAAGTCCCAAAAGCTCATGGCTAAACAAGAAGTGGAGGCTCCTGGGTTAATATCGCCTGGCTATTCTCTTTTTAGATAATCTCAGAGATAGCCACCTGGAAGTTAATTTAATAATTCCGACATACACTAAAGAGTGTGAGCAGCCTTCTGTTGGTTTTGCACTGCAGTTGTTAACAAACTGATTAACCTCTTTTTGTCTTTTTTCCACCCTCTGGCCTGCTGTAATTTAACTTAGGACATTTCAGAATTTTCTCCTTGTCACCATAAGCAGTTACATTTCATTTTATATGTCAGTATATATTCAATTTATATTTAATATATACATACATGAGTAGATGTATGGTATAATTTTTGTATTTGCTAATCATGCTTTTTTCTTAAGTTATAAATTTAAAACAAATACAAAGTGTGGATCACTTGTGAAAGAAAAAAGTAGAATTTTGCCTTAACATACTATATCTTATGGTGCAATACAGTTGACTTTATAATACAATCTTCAATAATATATTAATCTAAAACAACATGCTTTACCTCAAATCACTTCTATATAACAAAATGGTTCAAAAAAATTCCTAAGTGAGTTGGTAAAATCATATATTGTGCTGGCTAAAAAGTTACTGCTTGGCTATCGCCCGTGGGAACATAATGTTCTAACAATAAGCTTTCTGCTTCTGTACCTCCCCTTGCATAACCGACCGGTGGGTTGACAGTAAAAAAGAAGAAAAATAGACTTGTGTGTTCAAACAGGATGAAGAATAGGGGTTTAGGGCTTAAAAACCCTGTACCTCTACATTTCGGGGCTGCTTGATTTGGGGTCTGCGTACCCAGCTGGTTGAATAAAGAGTGTGTTTCCTATAACTCACTGATTTCTGGTGGTCCATGTGTCTATGGGGGCTGGCAGCTACAACAATATTTCTACAAAAGGGTTAAAATCAAAAAAGGTTAAAAATGGTCATGTAATGTTTAAGAATGCTGGGCTTTGGAGTTAGAGCTGTGTTATAATCTACACTCTCTCTTTTGAAGAGTGATAGAATCTCTCTGAGCTTCAATTCTTTTAATCTGTAAAATTTAGATGATACAAATATAATATAGCTGTTTTAAGGGTTAAACTAGATTATACTTGTAAAAGTACAGAACTTGTCACAGGATAAACCTTCAATAAATGTTAGCTATCTTTCTCGCTCTGGGGTAAAAAGGGTGGATAAAGGAGAAGGATTCTCCACCTGTGGCCAAACATCTTAATATTAATAAATAGGAAAATCCATAGGATACAGGGAATCCTTGCGAGACACATGCATCACTTGGTTATCCAGTGGCACAGGACCTGCCCACACACTATCTTTCGTCGAATCACATGACCCCTAAGGTGCAAGCTCTTCCCCTTCTGCACTCCCTCTAGCCTCTACTTCCACCTCCAGCTTCCCAGTCCACCTTTCTCAGTTACCTATTTCTCTCTGTCCCGCCATTTTTTTCCCTCCCTTTCCCGCTTCTAACTTTCCCGCCCCAGTAGCTCTTGGCCAACCGGGAAAGTAATTGTCTCATCTTTCCCGACCTTTTAGTGACGTTACGAGAAGTAAGATATTTGATTGGTTTTTCTGGAGAGAAGCCCACCAATAGCAGGCAGACGTTTTTGGTGCAGACGCACAGCTAGTATTATCGCTGGTGATTGGCTGAAGTGGCCGAGATGCAAAAATGGCTGCGAGTCCCTCTGTAGTCCCTGTGGCTCTGACAACTCCGGTTGTACCTGTCTTGACAGCGAGCGGCGATTTCTCAAATTTGCGGGAAATTAAAAAGCAACTGCTACTTATCGCCGGCCTTACCCGGGAGCGGGGCCTACTGCACAGTAGCAAGTGGTGAGATGTCGGGGTCGTCAGGGACCGGGCTTGGATCCTTTGGCCTTGGGGGGCTTGTGGAGCTGATACAGTTTTTGTGTGTTCCAGGTCCGCGGAGTTGGCCTTCTCCCTCCCGGCATTGCCTCTCGCCGAGCTGCAGCCTCCTCCGCCTATTACAGAGGTAAGGACTTCTTCACAGCGAGCACTTTCCATCAACCCAAAAGGTACTGAGTGACCTGTCACTGGAGGGGAGCAGAGCAGACT